TTCTTTTCAGCTCACTGCTTATCTTTTTAAGGCACTTTTTAGATGGACTATAATATGTCCTTTTTTTTGTACTGACTATAAGGTTATATTTTGCTATCTTACCCAGAAGTACCAATCTTCAAAACAAACAAACAACCTCATGAGTCTGAACATTGCTTTAAGAAATTCTGGACTGAACACATGCTCTTCTGTAGTGTTTGTGTGTGTGCATGTGTGTGTGTGTCTGTGTGTCTCTGTCAATTTGTATTTGCTTTTTTAGATATTCTGATACTACCTAAAGCACTTAAGGATTTTTGATTCATTAGGGTAAATATAAATTTAAACTCATAGTGATGTTAGGGCTAGCCCTTGGCTGACATCTATAAGCTTCTCCCTACCTCAACTATAAAGTCAGGCCAACATAGATAAATTTCTTTGCTGTTTGAGTGAAAACAGTTTTTTGCCTAGTTAATCTTGTCATTGTTTGTTTATTCTGAGATTCTGGTTGTACTCTTTTATATAAATGGTAAAATCTAACCCATAGAAATATGTGCCCTTTTCTGGCAACATCCTTGCACTTAATTGGTTGTCACTTTTTTTGTTTATATTTGATCTAGCTTTTCTAACTGCTGACAGTAAGAGGACTGTATCCTGTAAGATATACTGTGTTGTTGGAACTGGAAGTTTGTAAGCATATATTTTATACTTAATGTGTTTTATACATATCGTGATTAGTCATGCAGATGTGCATTAATTGGTTAAGAAATGTGTATATTTCTTATTTGAATTGTGCTTGAGGAAAAAGGTGCAAAATATCTCATTAAATATTTCCCACTTTAGCCATAAATAGATTCTTCATTTTGGTGTACATTAACAATAGAAAGTATTAACCTTTATTTAATCAATTCTGTTTGGTGCCTAAATTAAGAGGTTAAAGTTTACTGATAACTTATTTGGAAAGGTTGTTGTGTATATTGATTTTTGTATATTCAAGAAGCAACTAACACAATATAGAAATAGAAAGTCCAATCTTCTCTGGAAGCTTAAAAGATAGTGATAGTAATTTGTCAGAAATCATTATTTGCAAGTGGTAAATCTCTTAGCAATTAATGTAAAAAGTCATTTTCAGTTTCCTGCTGAAACTATACTATATTGTTAATACAGTGAAAAATACACACGAGTGACATCTTGATAGAATCAGAATCAAGTTAAACCCGTTAGTTAAGTAATGACTGAACACCTTGCCTACCACTTCTCATATATTATGTGCTGCTATAAGTGAGGATGTAGTTGTTCTTGATGTTTTTTAAATGAAAAGAAAGAGTTGAAATTTATTGTTTTCTACAATTTTGTGACCTAGAAAAGATATAGACTATATCTAGTTTGACCCAATCAGGAGAAATCCTGTGATGAGGACCATGTGGGGGAATGTATCTCTTTTCCTCCTAAATACTTGTTTACTTGTGTATTTAATGTATGTGAGTACCCTGTAGCTGTCTTCAGAGACACTCGAAGTGGGCATCGGATACTATTGCAGATGGTTGTGAGCCACTATGTGGTTGCTGGGAGTTGAACTCAGGACCTTCTGGGAAAGCAGTCAGTGCTCTTAACCACTGATCTATCTCTCTGCCCTCTTTTCCACCTTCCTTTTTTTGTTTTGTTTTGTTTTTGTTTTCTTGGTTGTTTTTGTTTTGTTTTTTGAGACAGGGTTTCTCTGTATAGTCCTGGCTGTCCTGGAACTCACTCTGTAGACCAGGCTGGCCTCGAACTCAGAAATCCACCTGCCTCTGCCTCCCAAGAGCTGGGATTAAAGGCGTGCGCCACCACTGCCTGGCATCTTTTCCACCTTCTAATATGCAAATATATTTCAATCTTTGATTTTCAACTAAATTTTGAATTCCTCAGTGACCTGGCCTTGTTATATTTTGATAGCTAATGCTATAGATATACTATTTAAATTTAAACTATAGTATTAAGTAAATGAAGAAAAAGGGGGAGTATGGAACATAATGGGAGACATAGGGAAAATAGAGACTTGACCTAAAATTGAGTATTTCAAAGCAGTGTGTGTGTTTTATGAGTCCAAGAGTAACATGTATTTATCTTAACTTGTAAAATTTCTTGTTTAAGGTATAGATTGTAGTTTCTGTGAGACTGGCTGCCTTGTTCTTGGGATTTTTTTTAACTCTTTATAATTTTGGATTAGTTATTTTTAAAATTCCTTCTAACTAATTTTTATGTGGTATTCATCTTAATACAGTCTAATATTCATATTTTGAAGAGCTAACAAAATATTAACTTTCCCTTTTATTATTAGCCTTCTTACAGAGAAGCCACACAACTAAATGGACCACACTTTTAGGATAGATTGTGCTCATTTTTTTCTTCCAAATTCAAAACATTTTCCTCATTGTTTAATGACACATTGCAGTTGATGTCTCCCTTACTGACTGAATCAGCTGGAGGCTTCACCATGCAATTAATGCATAATTGAAACCTCCTTGACACAATTATAGTATTGGCTGTAGCCCATAGTTCAAATTGGCATAAATTCTGTTTCATTTTATATAAAACTAAGGATTCTTTCTCTTGTAGTCCTTCAGTGATAAATGAAACAGAAACTGGAACTCAGCTTAATCTTTAACATCCTAACTTTTAACACCCCTAACAAAATGAAGCTAATATTGTAGAAGTGTCACAAATGTGTTATCTGTCAACGTGTTTGAGAGAAGGATGGTGAGACTACATGGTTATTTAGAGGACAAAGTGTTGTTCTGGCCATGGGATTCCCGGAAGTTAGAGTTCTAAGAGGAAATTTTGCACAAAGACACACTCCAAAGATATATAAATGCAGAGAGTAAAATTTGCAGTCACTAAATGTTCTTTCACATCTTATCTGTAAGAAAACTGCTTGAACCTGGGCAGTAATTTTTGTGAATGAAAATAGACTTATAACTGACAAATGATGAATGTGCAAAATGTCTTGGTGGAAAGAGCTCCGTTTTGTGCATCTGAAATGAGAGTTCAAGAGCACAGAGACTCAGCTTTGTGTGTGTGTGTGTGTGTGTGTGTGTGTGTGTGTATGTTCTAACATTTAAAATAATGTGTCACACTTGCACATACAGATTTTCTAGATACCTTCATCAGTTCCTTTTGGTTTACAATTGTTTCCAACATTATATAAATACAATCTATATATCATATGTATATATGATATATAGATTGTATTTATAAACACAACGTTATATAAATACATTTTAAAATAATATTTTATCCAAAGTATTGCTATTAAACTTGGCATTTTCCATATAAGTGTGATTAACTAAAAATAAGCAAAACTACAGTAGCAAGTGATTAGTAAATGTTAAATGGATATGAAATCAAAGCAGCCTAGACAGTTCTGTTCCATTGCTGGAATCAAACACTAAAACCTCTCATGACCTCATAATTAGCATTATTTTATGAAAAATTTCAAGGAACCTTACCCACTATAGACATCCATATTCCTTTTTAGCCCTTTACCCTTTAACCTTTTCTACCCTTTTAGAAGCACATATTCCTTCTGTTGTGTGGACCATGCTTGGTAGCAAGTGCTTTCTGCTGAACCATTTCATGGTCCTCCCTCTACAGGCTGTCTTAGCTTCTCAGAGCAATGGCCACACTTAAGCAAAAGCAGCATTTTTAGAAATATTATTACATCTTTGTCGTAAATTGAAAATGTACCCTAATGTCCACACACACACACACACACACACACACTCTAAACAAACTATTTATTGAAAATCATATAGTAAATAATGAATAATGGGTAAGTATGGTGTCAAGTTACTGGCATTGGCCTTCTCTATTTTATGCTACTGGTTCATTGATGGATAAATAAACAATATTGAAACATGGAGGAAAAAGAAGTACATATTCAGTGAGCCCATGGATTGTATTTCCTAATTTAGTTTGTAGGGCCTAAGCATTGGAAAATAGATCATATGTTTGAATTATTTTTATTTTAAAAATCAGAATGTTTGTAAGTGCTTTACATAGTAGTTTTGGCAGTGCTCTGACAGAATACTTGACAAAGGCAACTTGGACTCTTTCTTTGACTCTTAATAGAGGGTGTCATGATAGAAAGCCATGACATGGTAGAAAGAGAGAGAGATGCTCTATTTTAAGTCAGGACGCAGGGAGAATAGATACTGGTGTTCTGCTTACTTTTCCCCATTTATTCAGTCTTATGCTCTTACATTTGGGAAAGTGGTATCCATCTTCCCTCAGTCAACCTTTCTGAATTCCTCTCATAGACACATCCAAAGGAGTGCTTTCAGACAGTTCTAAATTTATTCAAGTTGACAGTTAATATGCTTATAGCTTGTAAAACACTATCAAGTTCTAGAATAAGTTATAAGTTATAAGTTATGAGTTATAGTTAATATGTTATAGCTTGTAAAACACTATCAAGTTCTAGAATGGTAGTATCTCTTCAGATGTATCTTTTACTGGGAAGATACAGTAGAAAAATCAAACTACATAGAGTTGATAAATACTATATGATTGTATGTGGTATTTTTTTAGAACATATTTGCTGTATGCTGATTTTTCTACTGTAAAGTCTTAAAAGATAACATGGAAGTTTGATGTCATTTTTCTAATTTTTCTGAAACAAGTGTAAAAAACTTTCAGGTATCTCGTGAAATTTCAGATGATTTGAGTCATCAGTGAGCAATCCTACCCAACCACACAATCACTTCCTTTCAAATGATCTTTTGATTTGTCATTATGTTTTCTAATTAATAGCATTTGAGAATTCAAGTTAGTGTTACAACTTCTGAGTGCTCACTAATGACTACTAATTGTTTATACACATACATAGTCCACACATGAAATCTTGCTTCATTTTGGTATACAAAATAAAGATCCATACTCTCCAATTATTAAGATCTACACATAAAAGAAAACATTTTAGCATAAAGTATTAATATATCTTCCTAGTTCATTATATTGTGTACTTTTTCTCTGCTTTTTCAAAGATTTGTTCCATCAGATGAGAAGAAGAAACAGGGTTGTCAACGAGAAAATGAAACACTAATACAGAGAAGAAAAGACCAGATGCAACCGGGGGGCACAGCAATTAGTGTCACAGTACCTTACAGAGTAGTAGACCAGCCCCTGAAACTTATGCCTCAAGACTGGTGAGACATTCCCTTTCTCACGCTCTTGTCTTTCTTCTTTCTTCCCTCTCCCATTCTCTCTACATTTATGTTTTGTTTCTAAATTGTTTTGAATATTTATGTTGGATATATGCGCATGATACGTTATGTTTGCAGGGATCAAAGAACAGCTTGCAGGAGTAGCTTTTCTCCTATGTGTCTTGGATCAAACTCAGGTTGTCAGGTTTGGTAGCAAGCACCTTTATGTGGTCAGCCACCTTTCCTGCCCATTTTTAAAGGATATAAACAGGTATCAGACTTTATAAAAAGATTATCTTGGAAAGTTTATTAATCCATATATGAAAATCTAATTTGCATATCAGTAATGCTGACATTCTAGTAATATCTTACTCTCACAACTATTACAGGGTGTAAATTACATTTAATTTACTGTGTATTGCTCTACTGAAGATGTTTTTGAAAGTTCAGGTATATATTATACAGAAGGAAATATTTTTTGTTTATTCTTTAATTTTAAATTCAGAAACTTCAGGAATAGTAAGAATTTTAAGTTTGCTGTTTTTCTCAGTGACTTTGGGTACTTGTGTCCATGTGTCTGCGCATGTATGTGTTTGTGATTGTGTGTGTGTGTATGTATGTATGTATTTGACCTCATTCTGATTTAGGCTTGAACTCACAGCAGTCCTCTTGCTTCAGCTTCCTGAAAACTGATTATTGGCATTAATTCTATACTTGCCTTGAGCAGCTGGTTAATTGCTTGACTGTGATTGTTAATATGTAGCATGAAGATTTTTGAACATTCTGAAGACCTTTAAAAAAAGGTAGCCTATTTCCATAGTAATACTGAGGTGATTATTCTTTTTATGTATCAGTCCTTAAGCACAACTTTTCCTACTAGTGCCCAAGATTTAATCATTATTTTCATTCCTCCTCCTCTTCCTTTTTCCTCTGTCTCTTCTTTTGCCTTCTCTTCAATGGATTGTTCTCTAACATACTCATATTGTCTGTCTCCTCATCTGAAAATGGGCTATAGTAGTATTTACCTCACCTGAGTCTCTTGAAAATGAAATGTGTTAATATGATTATTTGTAATTTGCTTAAAACAGCATTCTCACATAGTAAATAGTTAATGTTACTAATGGTAAGTAGCCATCATTGTTTTGTTCCAGACTCTTGTATGCTTAAACTGCTTAAGGTGTTACTTAATATAATTTTTAATTAAATATTATGGAAAATAATGAAAGAGGAGGAGCTAAAAAGAGATTTATTCCTTCTTGGAAAACTAGTTTGTACAGCTGAAATGAAATGAGTTGCTTTAAAAACCAAACTAACATTTAGGGTAAATAGTTAGCTAAAGCTTGGAAAAATTAGAAAAGTTGAGATTTTTTTAATACTCACTCTTTTTTCGTAAGGAACTAGAAGATAAGAAAATAAGTCTTGGAGTTTCATAAAATGGTTAGAGAGTTCCTATAATTTAGTGTTTAGTAAATTTAAATAACATGTTTTTGAAGTTCCAGTAACTTTCATTTAAAACCATTTTGTTTGGTTAATCTACTGATCCCTATTCTTGTCATCTTTAAGTACATTATTTACTTAAGGGAAGAAAAAAGATTACAAAGATGACCTGAAACTATTATGCTTGCAACTATTTCCAGAAGACTTAGGTAGGAGTGGGGGTTCATAAGTGTGTGTGTAGCATAGGAGTCATTAAAGTTTATATCATAAAACATATGAAAAAGTCAAGTTAATTATGTTTGTCTCACCAAGAGGAATGTTAGCAAGACTGCCATATGAATAATTCTGAGACCCTTTTTTAAGGATTTGCAGTGGTTAAAGCTCGAGTTTGAAGTGTTCTCTCCCCCATGTCCTCCTTTCTGCTTGTAGGGATCGGGTTGTAGCTGTTTTTGTACAAGGTCCTGCTTGGCAGTTCAAAGGTTGGCCATGGCTTCTCCCTGATGGATCACCAGTTGACATATTTGCAAAAAGTAAGATTCTCCATATATTTTTTGCTTATTCAGTATAGAATTAATTTTTAAGAGAAAAAGCCACATGTAACTCACCCTGCATATGACTGTATTAAAGGATTGCCATTAAGTAACATACTATACTAACCTTTAACACCTGTATTTTTAAAGTCTTTTGTACATTAATATTTTCTTTGCGATTGTATATAAAAATAAGTGACATATTGCCAATGTTAATGATTTTCACAGCAAAAGCCAATCTATATAAAAGTTGGTTACTATGTGATATATGCAGTTATAGAAATATCACAGTGAAAATCATTAATTTATACAATGTACATTATGTAAATATTGTTACAATCTGAAAGAAAAAGTACAGGCATATTGAAATATTAATGATGTAAAAAACCCTAAAATACTTAGCAATGTATTATATAGCCCCCCCAACTAAATAATAGTTGGAATATCCCTTCTACCTAGTAGATTACATTATCTATTTTTATCAATTTACACAAATGTATGTTCAACAGTAGATGTAATATATGTAATTCATTCATAGGATATTGAAAAAATCTGTGTGTCTGGCATTCTTATATGCTGAGAGCACAAAGGTGAGTGAATGAATAAAGGGCTGCTCCTGCTGTGGTAATTGCATTGTTGCCAGGCAGATTATCTAATAAAGACATAAAAATTACAAGTTCCTAAGAAACAAAACACAGAAGATAAAACACTTGAGCTGAGAGATCTGAATAAAGAGGAAAGGCCAATCTGGTAAACATCCCAGATGGGTTAGCTGATAAGTGTCTTAGACGTTTTAATTCAGCAAAAGTCAATCTATATAAAATTTAGTTATTACATGATATATGCAGTTATAGAAATATCACAGTGGAAGAAATATATAGAGGGAATGGAAATTTAATGAAAGCGTTAAGTGCCTATTTTTTTTTTAAAAAAAAAAACTTGCCTTATGGACTATTGTTTAAAAATAATTAGGTTAACTTCAAGATGTAAATACTGAATTTTCTTAGAAGTTTAATGCATGTATTTCAATTGTTAAGATTTTTTTTTTTTTTTTTTTTTTTTTTTTTTAATGGTAGCATAATTTTTATTAGTCTCAGGGTGTCAGAGGTGATCGGTAGCATATTTGCCTTGAGCATCCAACTCCCCCTCTTTTGTTTTTTTTTTGTTTGTTTGTTTTTTTTGTTTTTGTTTTTGTTTTTTTTTAATTTTTTTTCTTTTTTTTTTTTAATGCTTTTTTATAGCATGTTTTACAAGGGGAGGGGGTAAGAAGGGCAAGGTGGTGGAAAAGTACAAAATCTTCTTGGCCTGTGCCTTGAAACAATTGTTAAGATTATTGTTCTTCCAAGGTAGATAAGGATGTAGAGAACTTAGCAGTGATCAGTGATTTTCTTCTACATCTTATCCTTCCTCTTCATTGCTGCTTAAATCCTGGCTCCTTTCTGGCAGTGGTTAGAATTATTTTTCCATATTTACAGGAATCACAAAACCAAACCATGGACTTGAGCTCACACCTTCTTTGTTACAACTAGTCTTTGAAACAGTCATCTCCATGAATGCTGTGCGCAGGACTTCAACCACTATAGCATGGCTATTTCACTAAAGTTGTTGTTCTCCATCTCCCAATAGTGGATAGTCTTGACCTCCTATTAGAAGTCTACAGTGTTGACTCATTCCTTACTTTTTACAATGCTTGTTGTCAAGTACTGGGCTTCATTTGATCTCAAGGGGTTGGTTTATTTTATTTTGTTTTTTAGTAGTTTTTTTTTTCCTGGCTGTTATACATTTTAAATTATCATTTCTCTTTAAATTCTGAATACCCTTTTAAGGAAATCTTAGATTTTCAGTTTTCTGTTATTTACTTATTTATTTATTCATTCATTCATTTCTTTATTTTTGGTTTTTCAAGATGAGATTCTTTGTGTAGCCTTGGTTGTCCTGTAAGTCACTCTAGGCTCAAATTTTCAGTTTTTAACTCTCCCCATTTTATAAAATTGAGTCGCTTAACTCAAGATTGTGGGATTATCTGATTTACTGCCTGATAAATACTTGTTAATATTCTGATGGGATATGACAGTTTGTTACAAGCAACATCAATAATTTGTCTTACTCTCTTTAGGTTTGTGTAGTTTTTTTCAGTGATCTTCCTAAGCCAGAAGAAACTTAGGACTATATTGTCTTTCAGCTCTTAGTGCTTCTCCTAGTGTCATTTGTGTTGCAGAAATAAAATACATTTACAAAAAGCAGCTTAGGAGGAAAATGTGTTTATTTCACCTTACAATTTCAGGTTACAGTTCATCATTGTGGGGAGCATTGTACTAACTGAGCCATCTCAGCAACCCCTTCATATGTAGTTTAAGCAGCTATTTAGAGCAAAACAGTTGACAGATTAGAAAAACAAAGAATGTAATAAGCAGATTGAAAAGTATCTTAAAATGTTAATTTATATTTAATGTAATAATTTCATAATTTTAAAAATGCTCAAAAAATTGTTTACTTATGTGACACACTTGAAAATGGGTTTTTCAGATCTGTAACACAGAATCTCTTAATGAATTCTTATAATTAAATTTACATACAGTAAATTTTATTTTTTTTAAAGGAAATAGCTTTAAAATAAGATTTATTGACCTTTCCATCTATTCATTTCAACTTCCTTTGAAGAATTGAACCCTGATTAATTACTAATGTCACAAGCCAGTGTATGAGCTAGACATGATGTCTAAAGCCTGTATTCCTGGCATTTGAGAAACTGAGGTAGGAAGATTGCTGTGTATTTGGGGTGAGATTGGGCTACATAAATGAGATGTTATGTCAAGAAAAACAGAAACACCAATATGCTGACTTCCACTGTTCAGATATTGTCTATTTATTGGCTACTAGAATATATATTCTGTGAAGGTCGAGAGTTTATGTTGGTCACTGTTGTACTCATACTGCATAAAATAGTTCACCTTATATGTAAGTACTATATTTACTTAACTAGATTTTAGCTATTTTTATCGCAAATTTTTCTTTTTCTCTATCTTTTCTTTAACCCAAATTATATTAGTTTGCCTTTTATTGCTATCACAAAACACCATGACCAAAAGACAGTGGGGGAAGAAAGGGTTTATTTGACTTCTGTGTTCTGATTGCCGTTCATTATTGAGAGGCAGAAACTGAGCTGGAGCAGAGGAAGCAACTGTGAAGGAAAGCTGCTTCTTGGCTTGCTTTTTGTGGCTTTCTCAGGCTTGCTTAGGGATAGTACTACCCCACATTGGACTGGGTTTCTTCACATCAGTCATTAATCAAGAAAATGCTCCCACAGACTTGTCTCTGGGCCAGTCTAATGGAGTTTTCATTTGAGGTTCCTTCTTCTGGAATTAACTGAACCTGTGTTCTGGTGACAAAAATCTTACTAGCATCTGAGTCCTGTTAGTTTCACTCCCCTAGTAATTTCACAAGGATATACCATATTGGCTGTTTCGAGATCACTGGTTACAGTGCTAGTATAGCTTCAGTTGATAGTAGAAAGATTGGAATTTTTGTTTGTTTAGGTATTTATGTTATATGTATATTTTCTTTCAATAAAGTATATTCATAATTTTGGCTGTAGTTTTGATAAGAATGTTGTTTTTTTTTTTCTCCCTGTTCCCCTTATAGTTAAAGCCTTCCATCTCAAGTATGATGAAGTTCGCCTAGATCCAAATGTTCAAAAATGGGATGTAACAGTATTAGAACTCAGCTATCATAAACGTCATTTGGATAGACCAGTTTTCTTACGTTTCTGGGAAACATTGGATAGGTAATTATGATTCTATAATATACTCACACATGCTTTATTATACTCATTTTTTTAAATCAATTTAAAGTTTTTAAAGTTATGAGCTACATTCTGTAATTCCTTGCTTTGAACATTGTCTGATTTGATGCCAACATAGTAACTGATGATTGACAAATACTTTGATTTATTGACTTTATATGTAAATGTAGAACAAGTTTAGAGCCTGTTAGAGTTACAGTAAACTTTGAGTGAGAAGATAAATATTATGTGATCTTGCTCTCATGAACTGTTTTACCTTCTGAACTTCATGTTCTGTCTGCTCAGAGAGCCTGGAGTCAGGTGACCCATGCACTTTGTAAGCTTGTGAAAGGAATTTAACTTTTACACTTATTTGAATTACTATTTATATGAATTATTAGTATTGAGTTCTTTCTAACAACTGTTGTATAATTTACAAATATATAGCTTGTTTGATATTGGATTGTATCAGTTTTCTGAAAGTCATGAGGTAACTTTATAGCTGTGACTGATAGTGTGTAAAGACTAATGTGCTTTCAGTAAGCTGGTAGGTTATAGAATTTAATGAGAAATAATGTTTCTTTTGCTTACTAGTTTTTAGAAGGTACAGACTCAAGTTTCCAGTTATAAAACAGTATTTAGTCTTGTAGTGATTTTAAGTTATAAAAAAGCAGTCATCCCTTTTTAAATGTAATATTTTAAAAATTTTAAAATTTGTGTTGTCATCATAACCCATTATTGTATTTTTTCCCCAGATACATGGTAAAGCATAAATCCCACTTGAGATTCTGAATCATTTAATTCCTCCTGTTCTGAAAACTTGGATTAAGAAGCATGGATATAGCTTGATCTACAGACTGAAACCAAGCTTTATGAATTCCTCAAGAACTTGTAAATGAAGGACACAGAGTAGTCTTCTATAAGGCCTTGTTTGATGCTGTGTGCTTCAAAGAGGCAATGCCTCCCATCCATACAAGCAAACTTTTTTGGCTTACAACTATTTTTTTAATATTAGCCTTCTAGTCTGTAATGGAAATTGTATATTTTGATAGAAGTTTTTTCTCTATTGGTTAAATTAGCATTACTTAAAATTTGTTTCTTTAGAAATAAATACAGGTTATAAATGTGTGTATATTTAGGAGTTATTAGGCTCTTCAAGCCATCTTGCTTCTGATTTTTCATTGCTCTATGGTTCCTTTTACTGGAAAATACTGTCATGATGGTAATAAATTTTAGCTATAGAACTTTAAAACCCTATTGAAGGGAAGTAATTATTAAATCAGTTGAAAGTCAGCCTGTGTGTATACTATGTCTATACTAACTCATGTTTAAAAAGGAATAATGAAAAATCAAGAACAAGTCTTCAGTTTCAGTTGAACTGTTCAGCCTTTCCAAGATTTCTTTTGTAAATGAATACATTTAATGAATGTACATTCTCTTTGTTGACTTTAATGATTTTAAACTTAAAGTGATATATTTCTATCTGGGATATGTTTCCACTTGAAACAAAATCTAAAAAAAAAAAAGATTAAAGTGAAATAGACTGTAGTGATTTTTACTCGAGAAGCTAAAGTATGATTTGGGGAATGAGTATGTGTCAGCGTAGTTACAGTGTAACTTGAACCTCTTCTAAGTCTGACTTTGATTCTTATTTTATATGCGATAAGATTTTGAGTCTTCTATTTGTACACATGTTAACTTGGGACTTCTTATCTTCCATTATCCCTAAATATTGATAAATTCCCAGGCACCAAAGAACACATTTGCTTACGTGTCTGAACAGAAACAAGATAAAAACACTGGTATTTTTATGTGTGTGTGTTCAATGTGGTATAAAATATAAAACCTATATTTTAACTTAGTAAAATATTTTACTATTCCTGTTCTTTAGACAGAATGTTGCATCAAAGCTGCAATGAATGACCATGTTCCTTGAGTCCCGGTTTTGTCTTTTACTACTTAAGGAATGTTCATTCCTTGAAACTGGTTTTGTCATTGGAGCTGTTGTTGACCATCCACCTTGTGTCTTGTTTTCCTCAGTGACTATCTCTTAGGTTATCAAATTGGGGGAGCACAGTAAAACGTTTAGTTCTTGCTTTTATTCAGGTGAATTTATTTACTTAGTAATTTTATTTACTTAGTAAATAAGCAAATTTATTTACATAGCCTCTTTAGAACTTAATGCTATTGTAAAGATGAGAATCAATTATTTTATTAACTTCCAACTAAAGTCCATTATCAGTAAAAATGGAGAAGTATTTATTCAGATGGAATTCAGGGGGCTCTCCAGAAGAAAAACAGCTAATGTTTTAAATGGCTTCAATACTTTTGTAGTTTTAGTAAGTTCTGTCCACAATTTCCCCTTCTTGCATTCTTTTCTTGATGATAAAAGAAAATTCACTTTGTTCACAGAATTTCTCAGCATACAAATAATTCTTAAATTATGTATTGAATAAACTTTCTCCATAATGAAATAGTCAACGACTCAAACCTGTAATAATTTAATGTAAGATTACTTGTTAGGACTACTGCAAAGGACATCAACTACCACCTTTCCATAAAGATGTTTGGCATTTGTTCTTAATAACTGAAGTTTAATTGATTGCAGAGTGTGGTTGAAATTAATACTTTGGATACGGTTTGTCTGTTTTATCTTTGTTTTGTGTATAGGCAAAGGCTTCTGGATATCGTCTTTAACATCAGTAAAGCTAGAACTATGCTTTATAACTGTCTTGAAATCAGATCCTGTGTACTAGAATTTCTTGTTTTATTTTTAAAATTTAAATTTTTTTCAAGGTAGCAAGGTAATGAGTTTCATGGCAGCATTCTGAAGGGTCCATGTCCTCTTACATTGTTCTTTCCCTAGCCCCAACTCTCTTGCCTCCATTTCCTTTTTCTTTGCTATCACATATATCTATTTCTTTCTCTTTTTCTACCTGACCTTTTCTTAGTAGCTCTTCTTCCTTCTGTATCATAGTCTTTGTTTCATTAGCTATACATAGACTTGGACATAAATTTAAAAAATTAGTTTCAACATTGTGGACCCTTAAGTAGGTTTATGAAATTTATAATGGATAGTTATAAAAACAAAAGGAAAAAGGAAATGAAAAAAGCATTCACTATGCTCTACCAGTCATTCATTATTCTCTTGTGACTCAGTTCTACAGCAGCACCTAACACAGCTTTGCACTTTAGGCATTCAGTAGTTAGTTATATGTGTAAATGGATGGTATATTTTCAGCATACGTCCATTAACACAGTTTTGACTTTATTTGATCTTACAATTTGAGAATACAGAGTTATAGGGCATGAGAAGAAATAGATAATTTAATGAAGATGAAGTACACATTACTAAGTTCAGCTTCCTATAAGTTATTGTTAATGGAGGTACTCCTGCCAGCTTTACCTAAAGGAAGGGTCTCTGTTATTTATAATCTCTTAAGTAACAGTAAGAAAAATTATGCAGTTTTTAAACAGAAGCTCACCATTTGGAGACATTTAAAAAATATTAATAATTTTCAAAAGTTTTTTTAGAAAAAAATGTTTTTGAGAAAGGGGTAAGATTCACCTATTTACATTGTTACTGGAAGTAGTGCCAGAATTAAGGGTCTTGTTTTCTCCTCTTTTCATCTATGTATGTTTTGTGTGTGCGTGTGTGTGTGTGCGTGTGTGTGTGTGTGTGTGTGTGTGTGTGTGTGTGTGTAGATTTTGAGGCCACTCTTTGCACTAGACCATCTCTTACATTGGTGATATTGGCCTATATCCCCAAATGACGAATTCAAATCTTATTTATTTAAGGATATTTTGCTGTTTAATATTTAAACAACATTTAATATATTTCATTATTAGTATTATAGCTTACGGTTTGTTTCCTGTTCACTTATTGCTTTACTAAGTATTTTTTAGCAGAGACAGAAAGGCAACTTATACAGGAATAAGTAATTCATGGTGACAAAACCTCAAGTTTTTAAGTTCAAGGAACTGTTATTTTCTTTGCTATGCAGAGTAGGATACAATTTAATTATGAAAAGGAAAGGCATAGTATGAGTTAGTTTACACAGAGTTTTCACCTAAAGAAGATTCACTATCTAATAAGCATTGAAGAGAGACTTTTACCTGAATAAAAATTTCTGTGACTCTTAACACAAAGTGATGACAGTGTTCCCTTTTTAGAAAGTGGGCAGGGATTATTTATGACACTGAGCTATGCAAGGTTTTTTGACATTTTACAGTATCTTACAATATTATAATACTGAAGCTGGTCAAAATTAGTCGTTTAGTACGTGGCTTTAAATTATGTTGCGTTTTGTTTGTTTTATTGTTATTTGTTGGCTTGAGAATAAACTCAGAGCCATCTGCTTTTTAGGCAACCACTTCGACCACTGACTTACACTCTGAACCATGAATTGTGAAATTATTTAAATCATAGCTAAACTAGAGAAGTTTATTTTTTGCTTTAGTCCCCTACCCCAGGGAAAGTTCTTAAAGCATGAATGTGAATGCTCACACATGTATGTACATACAAGTCAAAAGAATTGCCATTCTGTCGAGTTCAAATTCACATAGGATGTTGAGAAAAAAAAATAAGATAAAATCTGTAGAAATTTGTTTTTAACTGAAAAGCTGGTGGTGGTTTTTAAATAAATGAAATTTAAATTATATTCACTTTGAAATCATTGAACTGAATGTTCATTATCCACTTGTGTTTTATTTTCACATGGTGATTCTCTTTCATTTTATAGTAGAATGGAGAATTGACTAACCTTGACTTAGAGAATTTGATTAGGGATTTAAATTAGATCCTAAATTTTCTGGTGTATTCATGGCCGAGTTTAGAAGTAAGTATGTGTTGGCTCTAACATAGTTTCTGCACTAACATGTTGGCAGAACAACTAGCAAAAAATTGAAAATTTATAATAGTTGTATAAATAATTCTTTTTAATAAGTGCACAATAGGTTAATTATGCTTTCAGGTCATTGATGTGTTTGAGATTGTGTATTAGGAACTGTTCATAAGAGTATCTTGGAAGTTATAATTTGCCATATACTGAAATGCAGTAAGCACTTTCATATGAATAAAGTTTGTGGACTACAACTAGTTTTGTGCCAAAATTAAAAAGATGGGATTATAATATGTCAAAATTAAGCAAACATTCTTTCCAAGTATTTTGTATGCTGTTAAATTTGTTTCTATTTTAAATGTAAGTAAAGCTACTTAACCTTTAACTTGGGTTAGACTTCTGAATAGGTGACATTATTTCCTTCCTTGGTAGTATCCACTGTAACTGCTTGCTTAATCATTAACTAGTGATGTTTGTGAAGCAGAGCAGTTCCTGAGTAGAGCTTACTTTGAAGCCTCTGTTACCTGATGAAATGTCCTCATTCTTGTTTCATTTTGGGAGCTTTATTTTACATACAAACAACAGTTTGCTGTTAAAAATCTTGGGAATATATCTACCATCCCCTAATTTTCCCCAAAAGACTCCAAACAAAACAACAAGAGAGAGGAGAGAAGAGAAAGAGAGAGGGGGGGAGATGGAGAGAGGGAGAGAGGAGGAGAGAAAGAGGGGAGGTGGGTATCTGTGTGTTCATGTACCCAATGTATAACCACCAAGAAGGCAGAAGTATTATGAGTTTGGGATGTTGTCTTTATGTAAAGTGGGATTTATCAGGCATAGTATTTCTGTTCAGGAAATAAAGATGTTTACTTTTTGGAACCAATGAGTTAAATCCTGTTAGTCTATTTTTTCAGTTAATAAGTTAAATAATTTCTAGAATTCAAGGCAGCAGGTTTTATAGCCTACTGAATTTATAATTGAAGTATGTCAAATTTCTTGTTATTGTAATAGTATTAAAAGTATATCCCAGTATTTTACATATAAATATCCTGATTTTAACATAAATTTCTAAACCATATTCCCATATAATTAATTAACATTGTCATACTGGCAATGCCAGAAATAATATATGAATCTGATGTGACAGTTTTCTAATGAAGGATTTAATGGGCCGTATTTAAGTTTAATTTTTTTTTCATAAATGCTCAATAAATATGAACTTCTGTTTCCTTTTCGTCATCTGTTCTTAGATCCATGTCTTTGTAACTGAGATAGAAAGTGAATATGCTGTTGAGTTACTTTTCTTTTTTTTTAAGGCTCAGAGGTGCACATATTAGTAATAAATACCATATTGCTAGGTAAGGTTTTTTCTTTAACATATTCCAAAATAAGTCTCTTTTTTACTTAAGTGTATAATGATCAGCCTTTAGGGTGAATTGAAAAGCTGAACAGCATTTTTTTAAATGACCATAGAAAACTTAGTCAAGTAGCTCTGAAGATTGTCTGCAGAACCTTTGTCCCAGCATTTATAATTTGTATTTCATTCTTATCTGAAGAATATTGGACTAATGTACAGAATGCTGAGGGCACAAACTGAAGCTGAAAACATCTGAGAGATTGTTACTACGTTTTGATATTTTATTGGACTCTGCTTCCTTTGCCCATGAGTTCCTAGCAGAGAACACAGTAGGTCATTCACTATGGTAAAACATGGTTATGTGTTCTTAGGGAACTGCCTTCCTAGAATTCCCAATGTTAGGACTAAATGTGATGATGTCTTTTTTTTTTTTTTTAAATTGTCAGATAAAATACATGTTCTTGAAATGGAGCAGTTTGAAAGTTTTATCAGGACTAATCACTGAAAGATACAAAAATGAGCCGTATGGCTCATTAATGTTTTCAGCATCATTATATTTCTGGTAGTTTTAACTGTAAAATGCTTTGAAATGTTTTGTTTTTAGGTAATGTAGCTTTATTCTATAATGAATAACCTATTACAAAAACAAACATAGAATCACAGATAAAATAAATTGAGCTTTAAAGTAATTTAAGAATAAAGGAAGTTGATCTTGGGCTTTGAAGAGAAGTTATTTGGGAATATGTACTTAATAGAGAAGTATAGTAGAATAAGTTTGGGAGCTAGGTAGACCTCTGATGTGATTTTTCTCTAGCAACATTTTAGCTGCTAGTTGCAAATGTGTAGAGAATCAAAGTTAGATTGATTCATTCATGTATTTATTTATTGATTTAGGTGTTTTTTGTAGAATTAGAAGCAGGCCAAGGAATCAGATTTATTTGCTAGGATGGTATGAGTTGACAGCAGGTAGAATCCAACTTGTACAAAGAGTAAATCATGGAGAAGAGCCAGTGGAAGTGAGAAGATGGCACTTCTGTATACTCAAAGCTTCTATAAAGTTGAGCTTGAGAGAAGAGAAGGATTGAGTGGGATGTATGAAATCAAGATTTTCATAAGTGCCAGTACCAAAGTCATTTTTTTATGCATCTCTTTTACAAAGACTAACTTGAAGAGTTGAGAGCTGACTGCTAGGTGCTAGAAAAAAGGCATCCCTGATTATACTGATGGTTGGAAAATATTTCATATTCAAGAGAACTTTTTTTGACTTCTCTGAGCTGCTTGTTTACTCAATTTGTTCTAGACTTAGAATAAACTTAAGATGACACTAACCTAATTTTCTGACAGGTTAGTTAAATGCTATTCTGATTCTTACCTAAATCTTCTGTATCTCTTTCATTGTTAGCATGAAATGGTTGGTATGCCTTATGTTTTTGGTGGCCAGGGTTTTTTTTCCATCTGATTTTTCCTCACTTTCCTACCAATTCTTTGATTATGCAGCTGCAACCCATTATCACTCCATTTTCTTCCCTTAAGTGGCCTTACCTTTTCTTGATAGAGGAAACAGAAGCCATGGACTTCGCAATACTGTATTGCTTAAGCCTTGAATACACATGCGAGCATCTTTTCTTTCTATTGGTCTAGTGTCCAACTCATTAGGGACTTGTATTTCTCTACCACTTTTTCATTTTTGCAGGATTTGCCATCTTTTGTCTCTTGCATATTCATTTTGTCACCCTGTAGTTATACCTTTTGCATGCATTCGTTGGCATCTTTTGTCTTAAACACCAGTGGTGTTCTGGAAAAGACTTGATTACTTTCACTCTCCTCTTTATGCCAGTCATCTTTCTTAATCACTAGACAAGTGGTGGTGTCACTAAGGACAAGTTTACAGTCTGTTTGGTCTATATGGAGTTGGGGCTCTAAAGTCTTGAGCCTTTCTTTTAAAGACTTAGAGGAAAACTGATGGTGTACACACTGTGCTGCCAAGGTGTACTGGAAGTACACCTTCCAGTGTACTTTCTGGGTCTCATGGGGAGCTCAGTTTCATTATGCTTGGAGAAGGCAAGTCTTTGAATAGTGGGGAAACTGGAAATTTCATTATGTTTTAATTGACAACCTGCTGGCTAACAGGCCATCAGCCCACAACATAGAGGTAATTCACTTCTTGTCTATGATTATCAATGATTAGAATATTTCATGGTATGATCTGTGCCAAAGTTGGAGCCAGTAGACAAAGGAAAGTAGACTAAAAAGGAGAAACAACAAGGCCTTGTTGGTTGAGATGGGGGACAGTTTGAATAGAGCAAAAGAAAACCACTAAAATGTTAGCCAAAGTTGGTACCAGATTTAATAACTTACTGAGAAAGCAAAACTTGAAAGATATATAAAGGCCATAACCTCTAGGAGACAAATACAGAATATTGAGTGAGGCTAAGAAGAACCAACCAGTAAATGCAAGATGTATTGGGCACAACATGTAGCTAATTAGAGAAAATTTCCAATAGTTGAAAAACTTTGTTTCGAGGAACATTGAGGGAAAAGATAGGTCTAGGCGAATGCTTCATTTGAACATTTATTGTTTAATTTGTGTCAGTGATAAGTTACTGTGCTAATGAACAAAAACTAGCCACACTCCCATTGGGAGGGAAGAAATAGATATTAAACAACTGTTCCCTGTAGTCACAAGTGATGCATTAAAAAATGAAGCAGAGGAAATATTATTTTGGAATAAAATGGTAGCAGAGATAACCATTTTACAGCACTAAGGATCAAATCCAGGGCCTTGTACACTCAAGGCAAGGGTTTTGCCATTGAGCTACATCCTTGGCCCAAAGTTAACCATTTTATATAGATAGCCAGAGGCAAGTAAATTGACATTTGTTCAATACGTGAAGAAGTTACCCTTGTGAATATATGAGAAGAAAGTACTCCAGATGGTGAAGAGTTCCAAAGCCATCAGCTAGGATATTTGCTATTTTAAGGACTGACAAGGAGGCCACCGGGCTTAGTGAGGCAGCAGGAATTGAAATGTGAGAGCAGATGCAGCAGGGAACAAGATTCTGTTGTCTTAATGGATTGAGTAAGATCCATTGACTGGCTTTAATGCAGAAGCTGTTAGGGAGATTTTGAGAGGAATGATACTTAAGAGTCACTCTGACTGGTTAAAGAGTAGGCCATCTTTAGGTAAAAAGGGAAAAACCCAGGAAGACCAGATCTTTACTGCAATAATTTAGTCAAGTAACAAAGGTATAGGCCACTGTGATATTGGTGGAAAAATGAGAAATCGTTAGGTTTTGGAGCAAATTTGAAAGTACAGAGATTTGTTGTAGTGTATAAGAGTACAGTCAGCAACACTGCAACATTTTTGCTTTTATGTGAGGAGCTGAAAAAATTCTAAGTAAAGTGGTCACAATTATGAAAGTATGAAATTTGGTAATGATAACTGAGAGGATCAGTTTACTTTTGAAATATTTGAAATGCCCACTTAACTGTGCAAGAAGAGGTGTGGGTCTTTGGGTTTTAGGCTAAAGAGAAATGTTCAAAGGAAAAAGAATAACACATTTCTAGTTCTCTTGTCATAACAAGGTTATTTGTAGATGCATAGGCAATGTCTCTAGCTATCTGAGGAAAATTCCCCTAAAATTTTTTTAAAGTAAATTAATCAAAGATGAATATCCTGTGGTAGAGTAACTGAGTATTTGTAATATAAATCTGACATCTCAATTCAATAAACCCTTTTCTATAGGAAATGACACTGTCAGTACTGAGCTGTTTTTGGTAAAACCCAGAAACATGAATGAAGAGAGTAAATATTCTGAGGTTTCATAATCCCTGTGAAGAAAGGTGTGGCTTCTTGGAAGATTACAACATTTGTTTTAGCACTTAGTCCAAGAACCACTGGTTCTTTAGAAAAGACTTTCTAACGTTTACAGAAGCACTTTGGACTATTTAAGAAAAAATTGTATTGATGTTTTGGAGATTTTAAAAATAGATTTAGACATTATTTACAAGTTATTAAATTGCGAATCTTGAAATTTTTGCTAGGTAGAAAGCTAGGTTTTCAGCCACAAAAGCACAAACCAAAGTATTTTAAGTAAGCTTTTTCAAAATATTCTCCTAGTAGCACTTTTTTCCTAGAAAATAACCTTGGACTTTTTGGTTATCTGTTTTCATAACTTTTAACCTTGTAATTTAGCAAAGAGCAACTTTAGGAGAAAGCTCAGTTGTGTCATCGTTGTGAATTACGGCTGACTGTCATTTCCCCCTATAGAGCCTCTTGTTCTATTTTACTGTTTTGTGAGATGTCTGTAAATTGTTGGTGAATGAGGGAGTCAGGACACCACTGTCAGGCTTGTTCTTAATTCACCTTGTATCCAGATCAAGTAACAGCATCTGTATCTATATATATGTTATTTATTAATAAAGCCTAATTTAAATAAAAATACTCATTGTCCCTTCCCCCCAGCACTTCAGTGAATCATCTTGCATGCTCCTTGAAGTATGTTGCTTAGATTTGGAGACCTGTAACACTGTATTGGTTACTTTCTTGTCGATGTGACAAAATATCTGACATGAAATAAAAAGGAATTATTTGAGTTCACCGTTTCAGAGGGCTCATTCCATGATGCTTGTCTCATGTGCCTGAAGGATCAATTATTGGAACCCATTCTTCATGTCTGGGGGACAAGATGCACAGCAGAGGCCATTGGCAGTAGACTGGCTTTCCCTTTGCCTCCTGTTATCTTGTATACCACACTCCTAGCCAGTGGGCTTGGTGCCACCCACATTCAGCGTGGCTCTTCCTCTTCATTAGTCCTCACTGGAATTGCTCTTTAATTCTTAGTTGACTATTCTTAGTAAAGTTGGCCATGAAGAGTAACTA